CATTAGTTCGGTGAAATATCAGTCTGCTTTTTGCCGATACTGTACTGGGCATTATCCGCGGTTCTGCATTTTACTGTCGCTAAATTGATTAATCTATAAAACCATTCTTTTTACGCCTTTATGCAGTAACGGCTCATTTCGAATTCGGTCGCGTTGCCTGGAATAAATCTGTGGATACGCTCCACTCACAACTCCCCTCCCCGTTCTATCCCACCTCTTTCCTGTTCCCGCGTCACGTCCTCTCCCTCTCAACCTTTCTGCGTCCTCCGCCTTCCCCGCTCTGAAATCTCGAAGTACCAGCTGAAGCTTGATTTAAGATGTCTTAATCGGCTCGGCAAATGTGTTCTAATTGGCTGACAAAACAACTCTATTTTTATGCGTTTTTGCTTATATGCAAATTGCAGAAACGCATATTGCAACGACCCTGTTCTGTGTTCGGATATTTCAACTCGGCAACCAAGCAAGCTCCGACGCCAAAATTTTGCTGGTGGGTTTCCCGGCCACGTGCCACTCCAAAACCGCGGTACCAACCCTTACGCAAGTATGGGCCCCATGTACGAGAGGGTGAAAGCTGGGAAGCTGAGATTTTAAAAAGATGCTCCTAGCTTACGTACGACTTAAAAATTTCAAACCCAGCCCCCAGATGTGCTCCCAGTTTACGTGCGGCCCTGTGAAAGTTTTGGCGGGAAAATTGCCAGTTCGGGGAGCAGAAGAGCTGGGAAGTTGAGGTATTAGGAGAATATCGCCCGTCCAAATACAACTTAAAGGTTTCAGATTCTGCCTCCACGTACGCGTGGTTCTGGTGTGCGGACATTTGAGTTTTTGACGGGAAAACCACTCATTGGACAGCTGGGTCATTTCCAAAATACGACCGCTACATGGAAATTGTTTATTTCCGTTTATGCAAAATTTGCGATGATTTACGGTATTGAGTACACAAGGTAGATGTGAAGGACCGTTCATGCAGTTAATCTAATTAGTTCAAGTTTGTTGCAAAAGCGCATGATCGCACCGGCTCGCCTGGTGCGTTCCTGCCTGGGTTTGAGTTGTAAAATTTAACCGGCCGAATGTCATTTAGAAGCGAACCGTCGCTGAAAAGTTGTGAGGCATAAAAAGTAGTGGGAAATGAGAAAAATAGTCGTTTGTGTGGTGAAATTCATCTCTTCGTGCAGTATGTTCGTTCACCTCTGCATTTTTGTCTCCTCGTCCTCTCCCGCCGCATGCATCATTCTCTCGCTGCATCTTGGGATGCCTCATGAGTAGAGTGAAAAAATTCGCAGTTACGTGTATAAACTGTCCACTGCTGATGCACTGCAACATTTCGTATCACTGAGTGAGGGAAAAATTGAGGGGAAGAAGTGTGCTAAATGTTACCATGCTTTTTGTTTCGTCACTATTCCATTTCAAATTCTTCAGTGTCAGTACACTTTTATATCCGCAGATTGCTGAGGACTTTCACTGTAAATGTCCATTGTCTTTTTTTTAATTTTTCGCGGCCATCAGATTGTTTCGCTGATCTGTAAGTTGTTGTTTCGGCATCCGTGCTCCCCAAGGCCATCTCCTACGGCCACTCAAAAGTACATTTTTCTAATGGTACGCAGTTTTGCCAGCGACCCTCAGTTTGCGATGTCCACTGTTCATAGACGAAGGGGGACGGCAGGGAAGGGGGAGGAGGGTACCCAAAAGCCCGGATCTAAAGCTGAAACTGAAGTAAACAAAATCCTAAAGTAACTCTAAGTAGCAGTGTTATAACTCTATTCCTAGTTACTGCATAGTTCCAGAGTGTCGGTCCTGGATCCGCCTATTCTGCTATTCTTCTCACTTTTGTTGTGTACCTTGAAAGCAGCGGTGACTCTTAGAATTTCTTTTCGAAAGAACTTTATGCGTTATTTTTTAGATATGGAAGAATTCAAACGTATTGCATTTACATCGCCATTCCGACATGATGAAGCGAGTCGTTTTACTGGCACTTTGCAAGGCCTAGCACTGTACGTTTCGGCAGCTTATGTGATCCTCATTTTCACCATCAAACTGGTAATGACTCGATTCAAGCCCTTTCAGGTTCGCATCTCTCTTTGTGTTCTCTTCTTTCATTAATATTTACACTAAATAATATTAGAACTTGTATGAAATAGTTCATTTTCTGGAAATTTCGCTTGCAACTTCTCACCATTTAATTTTTCCTGTTTTTTAGCTTACGACAGCGCTAAATTTATGGAATACATGGCTAGCAGTGTTCAGCATACTTGGCTCATTCTTCACAACTGTTGCGCTTTTCACGGAAATCAAGAATCACGGTCTTGTTGGTTGGTGCTTACTTCTTCATACACCTTTTTGTTTCTGCGCTTGACTTCATCCCATGCCAATTATTTCCTCATATTTTTGTTTTTTTTTTTTTTTTTTTTTTTTTTTTTTTTTTTTTTTTTTTTTTTTTTTTGGGGGGGGGGGGGG